CCCCCCCGATACCGTTGCACTACTACACTCTACGACGAACATTGCTGTGACCGGTTCCACGCATGCGGCATTCGCCGCACATCGATGCACGAACATTTGACGATGTTCACCGAACACCAAGCAGTGCGGATAAGGATATATGTTCGGCTAAACGGATAGCGGCGGTTCAGCAAATACTGAACACTTTCCATTTCTTGTCGGTAAAATGATCCGAATCGAATGCGTAAATGTTCGCTATTCGACGATATTTGTACGCCTACGCACATCGACGAATATTCGTCCCAGAATCCTGTGTGAGCTTATCAATGATTATGCTTCAATCTACTTAATTATGCTCAGGTTAAATTGATTTCAGAAGCGGTCAAAGTTGTGTGTTTTTGATTTTATAGTTACTAATAACAATAAACTACCTAATAATGTAGTATAAAATACTTACTTTGGTGAACTGAAACCACCTTTTCGCACTGCGTCTTTTCTTTTTTTAATAAATTACCATGTGTACACCGTAAAAGCAGCAGCTGCTTCTTGATCCATTGTTATGTTATCGATATCAAACTATTATAATATAAATAATAATTAATTAAAAATACATTATTAGAATTTTTTTAGGTTATGTTGCACTTTTGCAGGATTGAAAACCGGGTGCGGGAAATATCGGAGACGAATAGAAAATGTTTGATGTTTGCCAAACATTCGTGAGCGTTTTTAATTTTTTTGGGATTCGGCGAACATCTAGCGAATACTCGATTTTCGGCGAGTATCGCATGTGTGAAGGAGCCGGCCTAACCGGCTTTAAGCGAAAGATAATACGATTCTGATGCATTGATGGACCAAACTTTTTACTGACAAATGCTTAGAAAAATATTGCGGGTTATCTGCACTAACACGTACTTAAACGAATCGAAAATTACGATAAGCTCATATCAGGTATTAATTTTTTTTTATTTTTTTTTTCAGAAAACGAAAACGTTCACGTTAGAAATCGGAGTTTAAAAGGTACTAATCAATGTGGTTCAAATAAGTAAAAAAAAATAAAATGAAATATGTGGTATTCGTGGAAGGGTTAAATATAATTTAATTAACTTATATATCCGAACACCATTATTTAACATAAAATTCATTATTCTAATACAATATTAAAGCATCATACATTTTGCAACATAACAAAGAACAATTCTTACAGAATATTAGGCACCTGGATCTTATTTTATTGTAATTATAGTTTGCTAGCGGGACAGTTTTGTCGAGATGAATACACTATTAACATAAAAAAAGTCACACTTGTTTTTGTTCGTTATAAGTATTTTATTAATTTTGATGTGGCCTAATTTTGTTCTTTAAAATTCGAGCAAGAAAGCAATTACATTTTTAATATATTATTTTGTATAAAATGTTTTCTCTGTATATGCCTCTGGCTACATATTGTTAACATTTAGTTTACAAAAATATTTACTGGAAATAAAAATAAAACACCAATTAATTTTCAAACAGATTAAATATGTTGTATTCATACATAAATGTATTCACACTACAACAATGATATAGATTTAAGAATGATGGTTATACTTTAAAAGAAAATAATTAACAAATGTACACAGTAACCAATTTAAGGTGTTTTTCGAAAGCAATTTTAATGATTAACTGAGAACACTTTATACAAGCGTTAGAATATTTAATTTGAAGAAATTGTATATTTCAACGAATTTTGTCAAATTATCCAAATATTTATATGAATTTTAATTAAACGATGTAAGGTTTTTATTTGTCAACAAATATTAACCATAAGACACTTTAGACCATATACTTAATAATTATGTTACCATTATAAATAATACAACTATTACAATAATAATTTTAAATGTTATAAAATTATTCAAATCGAAGTTCAAAGACTTAATATTTCTATGCGATTTTCTTTTTTTTTAAAGTTTCTTGATTAATTTGATTATACAATTATTATGTATTTATACGAATCTAGTAATATATACTATTTTTTGATCTAGAGGCTGATCCTTCGCCGTTTCTTCTTATAACCGTTTTATCGTCAAGAATAATAATTTAAGTAATGTAAAATTTATCAAAAATTGTGACATCATCTGAAAATTATCACTATTAGGTTTTTGCCCCTCTAGGTAATTTATTTAACGTCAATATCGTGGGCATTACACAACAATACTGTACAAACGATACTCGTCAGTCGTCACTGTATAAACAGTAAATACTGTATAATATTCCCACACATGTAATGTGTGTACTCGGAAATGTCGCAATATCCATGCAATAAATTACATCCTAATCTTAGTGATCGAACGGTGCAGGGCTATAGATATTAATATTAACAATAAATACGCGCAAAAGGTTTTTTTTTATAAATAATACATATATTTACCGTATCAAAAAAAGCACCTAATGATTCATATTGAATAGATAATAATTTATTTTTATCCTCATCTTCTCTTATTTGCACGCGAGTCGTGAATGTCAGAATACCCGAACACCCAACATATCTGTACAGGATTTGGTTTTTGACTTAAACTCAATTTTTTTATATTTAAAAAAACAAATTTAAAAGACATAAATACTCATAGTATTCAACTAGGCACTATTATAAATATTTTTTTATTTCGAAAGTGAAAGTTCACCAATTAGAATACATTTCTGATACATGTTATAGCAAGATACTCAAATGCTCAAAATTGTTGATTTAATTTTAAAATCGTATTAAAATGCAATTACACAAGTATAAAACTATGTGCATTATGGTGGTTATTTTAAAAAACATTTGCATATTTTTTGAAATTTAAATATTTTAAATGTTATTTTATAAATTATGAATGTATACTTAAATATTATATTATAGTAAATGTTGTATTACAAAAATAAGAACGAATATTATTATGGTTCGATTGACTGGAAGTGAAAGTTAAAAGTTAAAAGTTTTTATAATATTTTTATATAATAAAAAACAATTTTAACAAGTGTAAATGTATAAAAATTCTAGAGGTTAGTTCTTAATGGTTTTACAGTAAGAAAAAAATACGATATCAAATAAAAATATTGCCAGTGATTTCTTCGCAGTAGGTAGATATACTTGGATAGATATGTTTGATGTAACATACACATTTGGTTATCTCCGTCCATCCGTACACATTCACAGCAACATAATGAAATTACTTTTCTTAGTTTTTACCATCTATATATTTATAAATGTATATATAAACGATGGACGCCGGGTCGACTTTGGTTGGTATATAGCAGTTAGGTAGTAAGGTTAGATATCTGCGAGTATTATCTAATCTAAAAAAAATATATAATTAAATAATTTTGTAAATAAATACACTTTTAGGCTTGGAAGACCCTAGCCTACCCTATTTTCAAATAGTTATTATTAGAGAATGGATTTATAAGTAAATGCATATTTTTATTAAAACGAAATATTTAAGATTCGATAAGAAATGTTCATGATTTAAATCATTCCTATTAATATGATGCTACTTTTATTTTACATATTTTTACATATTTCACTAATTTGTAAATATTTTTAAACATATTTTATCATTTCATCATTCATACGTCTTTTTCGTACGAAAATACAAGAAATTATTTCAAATTTAGATCCAGTAACTTCTATCGCTATTAAAAAAGCTCAAAATATTATGCAAAATGAAACACTGAAAACTAATTTAATTTTCATCTCAGTGTATTTTAGTTTTATTGCACATACATTTACAAAATTAGAAACAAAAATATGTCCTTAAATGAAAGTATACAAATTGTCGAAGCAACGATTGCAAAATGAAAACTCGTAAGCGGACCAATAGGAAATGTTGTAAAAAAGAAAATTTATGCTGTTACA